CACTGCGCCCCCTCCCCCAGTCATACTTCCCCCCGCTTCCCCTCCTGTGTGTGACAGGCACCCTCTTTTTTGGACCTGGAAATATGGTAACCCTATTCAATGGCATTATCCACACAAGGACATCAAACAAGATGTAAACCCAAACTCTTCCAAGGACTAACAGAACCATCTTCCTGCTATACACGGGGTTGGCAATGTTTTTGGCTGGAGTGCCAAAAACACTCCAACTTCGACCCTCTGCCAAGGGCACAGTGGGGGAGCTGCAAGGGGCCCTATCCTCACTGCTGGCGGCAGGTGTATGTGCACCTCTGGGTGGATGATAGGGGAGGGGCTGGGTTAGCATACTGTCTAGGCTCCTTCTCCACCACGGGCCCAGAGGACCATGCGCAGCCACCACTGGCTACAAAGCCCAGGCTGATCACAGCTGCACTGGGGTCTAGAGGATCAGTCAGGCTCTGTGGTGGCAGTGGCTGCAAGCACACTACTAGAAGGACAGCAGGGGCTTGGGCAGCACAACCCTGACCCTTCCCAACTGTATGCCCTGAGGCAAGTATGTAGCAGCCACCATCACAGAGCCCAGTCTCCCAGCTGCCTGTCACGAAGCCCAGGCTGCTTGTAGCCTCCTAGCCATCTACTGCGAGCAGCCCAGGATCTGTGGCTGGTGGCAGCTGCCCAGAGACCAGGCTGGCTGCAACATGCAGAGCAAAATGACCTCACGTGCCATGCTCTGGCATGTGTGCTGGGGTTGCCAACCCCTGTGGTATACTATAGGTTTCAGCATCCAGAATGCTTAAAGAATTTGTTATTTTTAGGAAGCAAAAGAACTTAAGACTCTAAAATGAAAGGATAATGCTTATAGTTTGGTCAAAGGTACGAAGATTTTTGGAGAGTATTGTACCTGAAAGAGTGTGAAGCCACGGTAATATTCAAACAGAATGCAGCCAGTACTCCAGACATCACATGGTTGTGCCCAGCCCAGCTCTGCAAAAAGAAGAATGCCTACTTTAAGCATCCAATGACATATGTAGAGCTAGAACAAAATTCCTCACTGGAGGCTTCCCATTTCCTTTCTGAGCTGCAGAGACCAAGACAGGCCCCTTAAACACCTACACACCTGGCGGGCTTCTGCAATGGGGTGATCACTGAGCCCTCTGGGAATCAAAGGCCTGAAAATAGCTGTCTGTTCTTTTTCAGCCGGGATAATGCTATATCCCCTGTTATTTAATAATGTCAGATCAACTCAACTGCTTATGCCTTGCTGGAGTATCTCAGGGATGTTGCAAGGCAGAGATCTAAATTGTGCACTTGCCCAGTCAGTAATCTGTGGACTGAAAAACCTTTTATTCCAGGCCTTGGATGTGTTGAAAGAACATGCTGTCTTAACATTCTTCCAACAGCACACTGACCTTCACCTCCAATAAACCTAACATTGCAGCAAAGTTAACCTCCCACCTAAATATGTAGAGTGCAGATTATCCCTTTGTTCCACTTGGGAACTGGAAATCTTCAGCTGACTTCCTTGTAACATGCTGCTTTTACCGTACCATATTCCATGGGACAACTATTTTGTTCCAGAGCTGCCTGCCCCATCTCACCCTGTCCCCATGATCCATCAGTAAGATAGAAAAGCCTAACATCACCTACCTAAAATCACCTCTGGGGGACGGTAATGCCGAGTAGCAACAATGGTAGTGTGATGTTCATGATCAAAAGTAGCGCTTCCAAAGTCTGCAACACGGATGCTTGTGTTCCTAATCGATTTCTCTTCGCAACTCTGCAACGCACAAAAAGCAAGCTTCAGTAACCCTTGGGAGACTGTTTCAGTCCCATCAGAAACATTGTGCATATGTCTGTGCGATAGAAAGGATCATAAAATCCAGAAGCTTCACATTTTTCATTACAACTCAAAAGCTCTTTAATGCAGGTAATCAAGTGCTCTTCAATTTACACACTGGAAAAAAGTGAAGCCAAAAGCTCTGGATCTCAAAGAGTCAAACACCAGAACAAAGAAGAGAATTCAGGTTCCCTTACTTCCAGTCTCCTGTTCTACCTGTTGAACATAACTGCCCTTTTGCTCAACCATGAAATAGGAAAGAAGAAAACTACTTCTGGCAGGAAGCAAGGCAGAGTGTTCACATATTTCTTACCCTCTCCTTCAGGCAGAACCTACCTTCTTTTCATTGTACAAGGTGTCAAAAGCTGAATTCACAAATAAGATGTTTTCAGGCTTGAGGTCAGTATGAGTCAGCTGGTTGTCATGCAAAACTGCACAGAGGGGTGGGAAGAAACATGTAAGCATGAAGCACTAAACAGTGCATAGATTTGTCTAATACACAAGACACTGCTCATTCCCTCCCTCCCAGGGACAGCTCTGTGAAGCAGAATTCATGAAAAGCGCTGCACCATCTATCAAAGTGTCACCGTGACTTTCACTATGCTATGTAGACTTCTCTTATCCAATTCATATTGATTACATCATATTTTAACTATAAAACATTTTCCCATACATGGCTGAAATGTCTACATGGACAAGCTTACAAGACTGCTTTTCCTTCATTTCAGAAGGTAAATCCTCCAATTACATTCCCAAACGCACCTCCCCACTTTGCTAACCAGAGTCTCTCACCTGTTTTTAATACTCTTCAAGTAAGGGAATTTCCCAGAATGTTCCAACACTATTAGCATTCCTGTAAACAAGCTGATATTTCTGGAGACAGACACTAGCTGTGGTGGACCAAACTGAGCTCTTTTCAGCAGACAACCCCAGTAAGGGACTCTGGTGAACTTACATCTCAAGGCATGGCAGAGCTGGTATGCCATGTGCCGAATCTGAGAGAGGGAGTATGGCTGAAAGTTATTGTCCTTCAGGAATTCAAATGTGTTCTTGCCCAGAAGCTCAAAGGCGATGCACATGTGGCCGTGGAAATTGAACCAGTCTGACATCAGGACACACAAACTGCGCAAAAAGGGTGGCAAGAATGTCACTGCCTACACAAAATAGTGAAGTTCTCAGCCTTCCCTCCTGCAAAATGGCACACAAACACATTTACTCCAGAGTATTCTCAACGTAGTCTGGAAATGCTGATCTCATATGTAAAGTTACTTCTGAGAAAGCACATCTGGTTTCATCCCCACTCCTCACTGCAGAGGAAAACTTGGGTAAACTACTCTGGAGTAACTGTGTTGTATGTCCCCACCCAAAGAGATGAGCAAACAGGCATTCAGAGTCTGCCAAAGTGTAGTTATTACAAAAAACTGTCATCATGTGTTCCTAATACTGAAATGAGAGTGGATCAGGGTGAAGATGGGATCACTTTCAAGGTACAAAGAAAAGACTGGTATTATGTTTCCATGCTATTTTTGCTCAGGGCTGTCCTCCATATTACCATGTACAAACCAACATCCATCCTCTGGGAAGAGATGCAAACAGCACCCAGCTCCAGTAGCAACCCTTCAAATGGTGGAACTTACAATTTGTTGTCCTTGTCTCTCTCTCTGATTTTCTTCAGGACGTTGATTTCCAGTCTGGCTGCTTCTCGGTACTTCCCCACATTTTTAATAATTTTCAGAGCGACCTGAGATTTGCCTCTGCAGCAGAAAGATGACACAAGAACAAGTCAGGATTGGAGCGGCCCAGACCTCAATGAATAGTCACTGAGAGTAGAGATCCTAGAAGGAACACTAATTCCCAGATCCTCCAAGGTTAAGTCCTCCTTGGCACAAGGAAAAAGAAACTGCTCTTTATTAACCCCTGCAATGATGCAGAACTTTATGGCTCTTTTTGACTCCCACAGCCAGCCATCAGTGGGTTATAAATTATACCCTACAACTAGGTGCAATCTAAAACTAGGAAATGCAGCTTGTGAAAATAAAAGTTAAAAAGTGATGAAGTGCATCATCAGCACTTCACCTGTATCTTCTTCCACCAACAGAGGCAACTAAAACTACTCAGAGGACCCCAATGATACCACAAAATTTGCCAATGAGCCAAAACCCTTATCTACATAACTGCCTGAACGAGACAGGAGTGGAACGCTCCTTATGCAGATTTGAAGAGATAGGAAACAGTGGAATGGACCACCTGACAGACCTCCAAAGGACTTAAGGAGTGGGACTTCTTTACAGGCGATTTTAGGCACTGAAGAGAGGCACCTTTCAGATCTTGGGCCGAGGATAAAATGTCCATCTCCCAAAGGCCCATGTTCTCTTCAGACCTTTATGGGTAAGCTCTTTGCTATAGAATTTGTCTTCTTTTTTGGTTTGTGGGCATTCAGTACCCTGAAGAAAAGGGTCCTAATGCATGATGAGGGTTCACAGGCATTACACCACAATACAATTAGTGTTTCCTGACCCCCCCCCCCCCCAAAAAATTTTTTTTTAAAAAAAAATTTTTTTTGTTTATTAAACAACCTCTGCCCATGGGCAGAGGTTGTTTAATAAACAAAAAAAATTTTTTTTGTTTATTAAACAACCTCTGCCCATGGGCAGAGGTTGTTTAATAAACAAAAAAAATTTTTTTTAAGTAATGAAAGCACATCTGGGCTTGGGGTATATTTAACCTTTTCAGAACATCAAGAGTTAAAAACCCAGGAAGCAAGAATTCAAGTTGTGTATCTTGCAACAGGTCAGTTGCACAAGGAGCTGCCAAGACAATAGAGATCAAAGATCAAATTTCTCCGTTCAGGGAAAGAATTGAATGTTCCACTACAGCCAGTGGCCCTGTCTTTCTCATGCAGAAAGGCCATGAGGTGGGTGTAATGCTACAGTAATCACTAGGCTGTAACAAGTCTCCCCAGCTGCTCTCTCAGATTGTATTCCTGCTGGTTTCCATTAGTGAAGCCAAGGCTCCCTGCCTATGCAATTCAGAGATGCTACAAAGGAAATATGGGAGAGTCAAATTAGCAAGAAGAGGCAGCCATGTCTTCAGAAACCTGGGATGGGCATGTGAGGGGGAAGGAAAGTAAGCTCACCAAAGTAAGAGCTTAGAGAATATGATGTTCCATCCACTTATCTCATTCTTGGCCATTAGCAAAGAGTGGGATCCTAAGAGCCTCAAACTAAAGCCCAATAACTATTTCTAAGAGAGCTGCTAAAAGCCATGAATTACACTGTGCCATGATACTGCAAATCTCCCCTCTCACTTTGCAGAAACATTTTCAAGGGGCAGGAAGATCTGATTTGCTCCTGAACTAAGCAGGCCCAGAAGCTTGCAGTCAGAGAAGACAAGGACCTGGGATAACTACTTAATGGAGGTACACCTGTACATCAGTGGCATACCGGATTGGCACCAATAAAAGGAAAATTAACATTACTGGCAATCTTTGTTTTTGGCCAGTGGAGCCGATAATGTCACCGACAAATGCCATGCGCATGTGCACAGCCACAGGATGCATGCAGCCAGGAATGCAGCCTGGCAGGCAGCATCAGGCTGGTAAGTCGGGGGAGGCGGGGAGAGAAGGGGCATCTCCACTGTGAGGGAGGAAGTGGAGCAGGGGCAGTGAATGGGCCCCCAGGGTGGGTCACAGGATGGTCCCACAGGCGGCTCATCTGGGTGGCATGGCGAGGGGATCCCTGCTGCTGTGTGCACCCCTGGACACTGCGTGTGCCCCCCTCCCCCACAGATCTGCTCATGGGGCAAAAGGTAGGCAGCCAGCTGCAGGCTCAGGGGTTGTGCCAGACTCTTCCCAGCAGGGAGGGGCTGAACCAGGGCTGTGCTGGGGCAGGTGGTGGCAGCGCTGGGAGGGGGCTATGGGGTGGGCTGCTGCCATCCCAACATTTGCTGTAGCCCCCCTTCCCAGTGACACTGCCACCTGCTCCAAGAACAGTCCTAGTTCAGCCCCACACTGCGAAGAGGCCAGCGCTGCCCCCAGCCCTGATCCCGCAGCAGGCAGCCCACCCTCACCCTGAGCACAAATCCAGGTGGCACATGCCTCCCCCAGAGGTGCGCACAGCATCAAGGAGCTACCCACCTCTTCCTCCCCCGACAAGCCACCCGCGGTTCCACCCCATGGCCCACCCTGAGGGCCCATTCATCACTCTGGCTGGGCAGCGGCTGCCCCTGCCCTGCTCCCTCCCTCCCTCACTGTGGGGACCTCTATTGGGCCCCCCGCCATGCCCCTTCCCCTCCCTCAGACATACCAGCCAGATGCTGATCTCCAAGCTGCTGGGCTGTATATTGGCTATCGGATCGGTATTGGCCAATATGGCTAGTTAATAATCAGCCATCGGTATCAGCCAAAAAAAAAAAAAAACTTTAATCGGTCAACCCCTACTATTTAGTGGAAAAAGTTAATGATTGTTTCATGAGCCCTAATCTACACCCAACTGACAACCTCTGTGATCCTTTGGTACACAACTGGCATGTGACTTGGAGAGTAACAACTGCTTACCTGGCATGGTCCACACACTCCACAACTTTGCCAAAAGTGCCTTCACCGAGGCTGCCGACAATCTCATCTAAAAGAGAAAACAAGAGCAGATGTCAGCCCTGAGCACCCAAAGAGAGCGAGGTCCTGCAATTTCATCACAGCATTCAAATGTCAAAAAAATAAAATTAAAAAAAAAAAAAGTATCTCTCACTGCCACACTCTTTAACAGAAGTGTCTATTGTCTGCTTCAGGCAATTACTGGTCAGTCCATTTATAAGCAATAAACACTAGAGACCCCTCCAGAACAATAAGAGAGATCTTGTCTAACATGGGGATAGAAAGTAGAGAGGTAAAGTTTTACGAAAGGTGGCTGTACATCGCTCTTGGAGCCAATCGCCGATCCTGCACACCAGGTGACCTTCCTTGTCATCTTCCACGCTCCTGCTGCGTTTACTGCTCTGTTGGCTTCTCTGTACACACCGCCCCCCGAAACGGCATACGACCAATCGCACGCAGCGGGCAGTTCCGATTGGCAGATTGTGTTGTCATTCAAAGGTGGAGACGACGATGCGTCGGTGGGTGGATTTTCCAGATCCCAGCATTTCATAAGGCACACAGCATATATAACGATAGGGATATTGCAAGGGACACGTCAAGACACAAACTGACTTCAAAACAGAAAAGTAATAAACAGCTACAGGTATGTAAAGAAAACGGTCTCATTAGCTAGGGTCTGATGCAGCAGCCTCTTAGCAGGAAGTGCCACCCTCTTCTCTGGAGGGGAGTGGCAGCTGGGATACTCCATATCACTGGGTTCGCACAAGTATTCCCCACACCGTTTTGTCAGAGAGGAGCAGCTTCCTCTATAATGAATAGAGGACACTGCTGGAGGTGCGAGAAGAACGAGTGCTTCGCCATAGTAATGTCATTTTCTCCGCTGGCAAACATGAGTATGGACAGAGCAAAAAAATCAGTTTGGTCAGGCTGTCCAGTAGAAGCCACAGTAGCCCTCTGCATGATTTGTCTTGGTCTGATCTATTCATTACTTGTCTCCAGATGTCCCAGAGACTTATCCTGCCCCTAAGGTGGCACTCAGCTGCCTTTCCAATTCTGAGAGAAACACCAACTCAACTGATCCTACATTTGCAAGCCAGACTGGGCACAGATAGGGCCAGTGTTGAACTTCGTCCTCTGTACTGCTTGGAGCAGGGCAGTTAAGTCCCTGGGGAGCACTGTGGCTCATTGGTCCTGGTCTGCTAACAATAAGAGGTCTGAATCAATCTTGCTGCTACTAAGCTTCTACTGGAAAACCAGCCGAACGTTCCTGAAGGGTTCCTCCCAGCAGAAGAAAATCCTCCCGCAAAGCGAACTACAGTTCTATCCAGTCACTGAACTTTTCTGCTTGGCCTCTCAAAAAAAGCCATATAGAGTTCACTGCATTCTCTATAGCCAGGGATATGGTAACAGAGCTTTAAACGTCCACACCTGCACTTCCTAATGCGCTCCACCACTCTTTCCCTGACCAGTGCAGAAGAATAACCTATAAACAAAGCCTAAGAGATCATCTGAAATGGAGGAAGTGTTTTGAGAGCATATTCCAGATAGCCAGAAGACTTCACAACACAGGATTTAGAGCACACTAGCCAAACCCTTCACACTACCACCACACACGCACACGCAGTTAATAGAGCATTTCCATCATTTAACACTGGCTAAGACAAAAAAAGAAGAAGACGACCACAGAATAGAGTAATGGGCCCTTAAGAGTTCCAAACCATGCAGGTATCCAGTATTCCTGCAAGGATCAGGACTCAAGTCATTTTGTTTAAACAATATTTAAAAAGCAACAAACATGAGAACCGTGAATGATATAATTGGTATTTATTGGAGTAATGAGGAGCAGTGAAGTCAAGACATTTCGTCTGGTGCCTCACAACACTTCTGAGTCATTCCAGTGTCCTGGGATAACTCTCTCCCCCCATAACTTCATATATTTGGCAAACACCTCAAGAGCCTATGAGATGGGAGACTGCTTCATTAGGCTCGGACTGAAAACACTGAAGTTCTCAGAGAAGCTTCAGTCCGAGGAAGTCTGTAATAACAGTCAAGCAGGCCATGCTTGTGCTCACTCAAGGAGAAGCCTTCTCCCAAATACTGCGGGGCAAGAATTGACAACCATTGTGCCAACAGCTTTGAAGAATGGGTGCGACAGTTGATTCACCCTAAAGGACGCAAGATTCTGGCACGATTCAACAGACAACCACAAAGGAGTATCTTGTGCCATCACTGTGTATCAATAATAGTTCAGGCTGAAATGTAAATAGGCAGCAGAAGTGGAACCCTCATCACGTGAAAGAGAAACTAAAACCACAGAGAGAAACCAGAACCAGATGCAGTCACCATTTTTACCTGCATCCAAGGCACCCTTGTAACAGTGCTGAAGAGAACTCCGGTTAATTCCTCTCCCCCTCTTTACCTTGGGAGCATAGCCTAGTTTTCCCAGGTATTAGGACTACACAGGGTAGGACTTTCACAAATTAACAGCTGCTAAATACTTTGAGTCTAAGACACTGCATTATTACGCTCTATGTTCCACTTAAATTAACAACAAAGCAGAAGAGGGATTAGAAGTACTCACCCAATATATTCAAAGCTGAAAGGAGGTAAGAGAAATTAAAAACCTAGAACCCTCTCAAATTCATTCTGGATTCTACTCACCGAGGATGCACTGCTACAAGACCTGGTCCTGCGTTTCCGACAGTGATGCTGGTGCTTTTTTGCTCGCTGGTGTTCTCTGCCCCTCGATCTCCGCCAGTGTCGTGAATGAGTAGCATAATAATCCTCTCCAAAAGAAGGACTTCGCTCTTCAAACCGGTAGTTGTCGCTGTCCCGTCTCTCTCGGTACCTCCTGTGGTAAGGCATCCTGTCCTGGCTGCATTACAAATAAGAACCCATTTATAAACCTGGGAAGAAAGGGCACACTGTTCAAAAACTACAGCACAGCTGCAAGCAAATGCAACCTGACGATGCAAGTTCTTATTCCCTCTGCCTGGCAGCAGAGAACATACTGAAGCAGTTCTTGCTCAGAGCTTTGAGCCTAAGTAACTCAAATTGAGAAGCTATAAAGAAGGGCCAAGGTGAACAGGGGTACGACAGGGCTTCTGTATAAGGAGAAGCTCAACATACTAGGATTTTCCAGTCAAGAAAAGAAACCACTGAGAGGAGGTATGACAAAAGTCTTTAAAATCATAAGCTGAGGACGTATATAGGGATTTACTATATACAGTTTCTCACAATACTAGAATTATGGGACATGCAATGAAATTAATAGATAGTTAGTATCAAACAAAAGGCAGATTCCCTCCCCCCACACCCGCCAGTGTATAATTAGCTTGTGGAACACCTTGCCACACAATGTTGTGGAGGTGGATAGTTTAACCAGGTTCACAAGAGGATCGGACAAATTCATGAAGGATGAAAGTCCCTAAGCATGTATTAAACACAACAGTTAAGGGTGTGACCTCAAAATTGGGACTCCCTATGCCTCTGCAAGCTAGAAGCTGCAGGGCAGGAGGGGCAAAAAATGGATCAGTCTGGATATTCCCTGCTTAAGTACTCTTTCCTTTGGTATCTACTCCGCTGCTGTGAGAGACATTATACTAAATGGATAGATTGCTTGGCCTGACCCAGCACGGCAAGTTTTCACATTCTAAAACAAAAAGGACTTCTAAGGAACGGTGTGGCAATATCATATTTAGATAATTAGGGGGCATAGCATTTGAAGCCGGTTAGTACATGTCTGTACTTACCTAGGTACTCATATAAAACTCCTCACCATGCTATATGGACGTTTCTCTCCCCAGGCCTCCCTCATGGCTTTTCTGTTTCAAGCGAAACTACTGGTTTTTGTTTGTTTGGTTTTTGTTTTTGTTTTTTTTTTTGGGGGGGGGGGGGGGGGTTTGATCCAGTACTTTAATGTTGTTGTTTCTTTTCCAGATAACATGACTTCTTAGCATAAATATAGAACATCAGCTCTGTCCAGAAATAGGAAGAACAGAAGCAGTATGGGCAAAAGAATGTCACATGATCACTTTACAAACAAAATGCAACTTACTATAGTTAGCAAA